GACGAGGCCCCCCCCCAAAAAAAGTCCCACCACCACTGTCTCAGCTGGCCCTCCTCCGATGCTTGGCGCTCGTCCGTCCGATCGTGCGCTCCTCGTCCACCCTCTCCGGCCCCCTCCTGGCCTTTTGGCGGCGCCCACAAGGGAGTGGCGCGAGGGGGTGGCGATCACCATCGCGAGGAACCCGGGGTAACCCCATCAAGCCAGTAAGGACCCCCCCGGGGTTATCATTTGCACCGCACCATAATCAAATAATTCTGGGGGGCGGCTTTTCGCCAAACGATATGATTAACACCGCGCAAAAGGAACGACAATAAATAATTCCCGCGCCCCGGCTCGGGTGGTATCCCAATTGGAATTGAAGAAGAACAAATTACCACAGTGCGACCCTACCTAGAAGTTGGAGCCCCTAGAAAAGCAGCATTAGTTGCTATGCTATGCTATGCTATGCCGTGCCATGCTATGCTGCGCTATGCTATGCTGCGCTATGTTATGCTGCGCTATGCTATGCTGTGCTAAGCTAAGCTATGCTATGTCATGCTGCACTGTGCTATACTAAGCTATGATATGCTATGCTATGTTATGCTATGCTATGCTTGGCTATGCTATGATATGCGTTGCTGCACTATGCTATGCTACGTTATGCTATGCTATGCTGTGCTCTGCTATGCTGAAGCTCAGCGAAGCTAAGATGAAGGTAAGCTAAGCCAAGATAAAACAGAGGTAAGATGAAGCTAAGCTACGGTAAGATGAAATAAGGTAAGCTAAGATGAGATAAGCAACGCGAAACTAAGGAAACGTCACTGGGGGAGCCGCGGGGCGGATGCCGGGAGAACCGCCCTGGGCGGGCCCCACTGCCCGGCCCTTTCAGCCTCCGAGTAAGAACCCTTCTAGGCAAAGCCTAGGTAGGGAATAAGAGGGAAACACGAGTAATAAGGATAATAATAAAAATGATAATAGTAAGAGTAAGAATAATGGGAAGTATAAGAGTAATAAAAATGGTAGCAATAAAAATAAGAGTCGTAATCCGAAAAATACTCTTAGTAGGAATAAGAATAATAATATACATAATAATACAAGTTTTTCTCATTATCTTCATGATCCCTGCCCTATACGACTTGTGCTAGCACTCCTGCTGACACATTGTTTGTTTCCGGGCCGTCGTGTGGGGTAGTGGATCCGAGGATGTCGCCCCCGCCACGCATGGCGCGTTATCTTAGCAGCGCACCCGCACAACAGAATTACGACAGCTTGACCGACAAGACAAGTAATACAATAAGACCAATTATAAGAATAAGAAAACGAATAATGATACTAACCTTAAGAAACATAATAAGAATACGAATGAGAGTAAGGATAATGAAACTAATACACATCCAAAACATACGTGCTCCCCTGCTTCTTTCCTCCCTCTCTCTTTTCTCTCATGTTCTTCATATTCCTTGTCCTATACGATTCTCATTACCACCCCTATTAAAACATTTGTTTTTCCCGGCCTTCGTGTGGGGTAGTGCATCCGAGGATATCGCCCCCGCCACGCACGGCGCGCTATCTTAGCACCCGCACCGCCAAGATTATTCGCCCCCCATCGTAGGCACGGACGGTCCTTTTTCAAAGCTGGGCTCTCCCTTGCTGGGGCGCCCCTGCTCGGAAGGCCGAGCGTTGGGAAGACGCGCGGCCATTCCAGTTCTCGCCCAGACCGAACACCTGACGCAGTCTCGTCTGCGTCCAGAGCAGTTTCTGAGGATGTCTCAGGCGAGGCGCCTGTTTCAGAACCACAAGGAGACCGTATTGCAAGAATGTCTCAGGCGGTTTGCTTGTTTCGGCGAGCAGACTCGTCTGCGTTTGCATAAAGGTGCGAGGTGTCAGGGTGACGCTTCTGAGGTGCCGGGTGCGTTTTACTTTCGCCACCGGAGAGGGAGGGGGGGGGTTCTTAATTGCCGGATGAGGTGAATCCCCCTGGAGGTGTGGCTCCCCCCCTCTCGCTCGAGAAATCCCCTATATCCCCAGCTCGGGGAAGTATCCTTAATCTCCTCGCTGGTGGTGGCGCCCGAACGGTGGCGGTGGTGTCGTTTCTCCTTCCCCCGAGGATCGGTGGCGAGCGAGGTGGGGAAATAAGAAGGAGAAGACCTTCTCAGAAGGCGGCGGGGCTTCTCAGAAGGCCTTGGGCCTTCTGAGAGGTTTTCTGCGTCTTCGGGGAAGGCTTACAGCACTTCTCAGAAGGCCGGGAGACTTCCGAGCCTTCCGAAAGTGCCCGCACCATCTCAGTTCCCCCCATCGCACGCCGCCGAGAGGACGCCGGTGCCCCTCCGCGCCGCCCACTTGCTGCCCCGCCCCCTGGCCCCTGGCCGTGTCCTTGTCCAACTCGTTGACGCTGGGCGGGGAGCTGCGTGTCGCCCACGCGGGAAGCGGGACGGAGCACGCCAGCCACGGGTGCCAGCAGCGCGCGGCGGGCCACGTGCACCGGCGAGGGCACGTCGGGAGTCTGGAGCCCGCGTGACATGGAAGGGGATAGCCGCTGGCCCTGGGTTGCCGCGTGGCGTGTGGGTGGGGCGTGCCCTCGACACTGGCGCGAGCACGTGCCCGCGCGTTTTATCATTTCGAGCACGGGTATCGTTTTGCCGATCCCTACCCCTCCTTGCGTGGCCTTGGCCCACTGGCCAAATCACCCGCCGAGATGCGGCTATGTGTACGTTCCTTCGGCTTTCGTGGGGGCTATCCCCATCTAGGACGGTGGACCTGTGGGGCCGAGATACCCTGATCAAGTGGGAATGCCGATGGGGTTGAAGATGCTGACAGGAGGAGGAGGAGGAGGAGGAGGAGGAGGAGGAGGAGAAGCATAAGGAGGAGAAGTTGGAGGAGAGGAGGAGGAGGACGAGGAGCAGCAGACGAAGGCTGCGTGCCTCGTACGCCACGTTTGCTCAACGGACAAGGAAGAAGGAGGAGGGGGAGGAGGAGGAAGAGGAGGAACGACCACAGCAGCACGGCGAAAACGTCGGCGACGCAGTCGTGAGGGCATGAAGCCACGTCAAACGCCGTGCGCTCAAACGCCGAGATCAGCGCAACCACATGCCCCTGGGAACCCGCGTGACCCCGCGCGCCGTGAAAAGCCGACACGAATGCAGAATGAGGAAAAGTTCGCACGAAGACTAACCAGAAATCTGCGAAAGTTGGCGGTCCTGAGCGATGCATCGGGCGCCACGGCACCTCGCGCCGTGAAAAGCCGACACGACGGCAGGATGGACCAACCAGGAATCTGTGAGAATTGGCGGCCCTGTAGGATTTATCGGGCGCCACGGCAAGATCTGTCAGAGCGCCTCGGAACTAGGGTGACGAATTCGATATACATGCATATATATATATATATATATATATATATACACACAAGTGTACTTGTATATATATATATATATATGATGTGTATCCACTGCTCCCTGGCCAGGCCCATCCAGAACCCAACAGCGGTGTACGCGCCATGCCCTCCTGGCTAAGTCAGAATTGCGTACATACAGGTCCTGGACCCGGGAAAGACCCGGCCAGGCCATGAAAAAAGCGCCACGTGACGCGAAACAGTCCGCCAAGCGACGGGATAGAGCACTCCCAAAACGCACGTCGCAAAAAAAGAGGGCGTCGGACTCAGACATCTGATTCCGCATGTATTTCACAGCGTTGCTCCCAAGGGCCCTCGGACCCCGAGTCGCTTTTCGACTGCCCTAAAGTCCTGCAAGTCCGGCGGGGCCAGAACAAGGACAAATCGTTTCAGAGCGTTCCAGAACGCTCTCAGGACGTTTCGTAACGCTGGCAAGGCCGCGGCTCCCGATGCATCCTCCAGAACAGCCAGAGCTCTGAGACCCCTGATTTCTCCCCGTACGGTACTGACCTTGTCCTTGTCCTTGTCCTGGCCTCGTCTCAGCAGGGGGGTTTGGGGGGAAAGAGTCGGCGGCGAGCGAGGGGGGGAAGTGAGAAGGAGGAGGCCATCTCAGAAGGCGGCGGGGCTTCTCAGAAGCCCTCTGGTCTGCTGAAACGTTCTCGGCGTCTTCCGGGAAGGCTCAGAACACTTCTCAGAAGGTAGGAGGCCTTCCGAGCCTCCTGAGTCGGGGATCTCCTGACCCGGGTCAACCCAGACCCGGGTCAGCTGAAACGAAAAAATGCAATGCAGGAGAAAAAAATGCAACGCAGATCTTCGCAAACCCGGGTCGGCCAATATGCGCGGCAGCCTCGCGGCCACGAGCGGCTCGCTAACCCGGGTCAGCCAGAGGGGGTCTTCGTAGGGTCCTGCAGGATCTGGCGCCCTGGCTGACCCCCGTTTGCATTGACCCCCGTCTCGAGGCTCCCGACTGAGAAGGCCCGTCCTCCCCCCCCCCGGCCCGCCGCCGCAAGAGGCCGACGAGGGCCGAGCACCTCCCGTCGCGACGCTTGCCGCGACCCGAGGCCGTCGCGAAGGCCTGGAACCCTCGGGGGCCATCGCGCTCTCGCCGTCCCTCGCGCCGCGCGCCCACCGGGCTCGCTGGCCCGGCTCGCTCCGCCCCGCGGCGCCGGGGGGGAAGCACCGTCGAGGACACGCGGACCGGGCCTGCCTCGAGCAGGGGAGGGGGGGGGGGCCGCAAACGGTGAGCAGGACCGGCCTGGCCGCACGCTGCACAGATCAGTCGAGCGGGAGAGGCATTCCCGACTCGGGGGGGCATTCCCGACCGAGCCTGCCAGGGGCCTCCTCACCTCAAGCAGTGGGGCGCGAGAGGGGGGGGGAGGGGCGGAGTGGAGGAGGGGAAGCGGAGGGACGGGGGAGGATGCGGGGCCCAGCGAGCATCTCTTCTTGTCCAGTGTTCTCGGCGCCGCTCAGTTTCCGATCGTGCACGTGCTGGTGGCATTCTCTGAGATTGATCGATCACCGCGTTTCGGTATCTGTGCTTTTTCTGGTCGCGGCCATCAAGACGGGGCGGCTCACGCCAACCAACATTCGTCCATCGTAAAAGGGGGCAGGGAGACCGGAACGAAGAGGAGAGGGAGAGTACACCTTTTGGAACATGTCGGCCATATTCGACGAGGTGCTGAGCTAGACCCAGCGACGAGGGTGCGCCCCTGGCCGGGCAGATGGCATCCTGAGCTGGCATGCACCCGTGCCGATACAGGAGGAAGAGGGGAGCGTGGATGATGAGGACGGGGGTGAGGAGAATGAGGAGAAAAAGGGAGAGGGATCTGGAGAAGCAAAGAGAGGAAGAGGATCACGAGTAGAAACAAAACTAAGAAGGAAAGGAGCGACGAGGAAGAGAAAGGGCGTGAAGAGAACGACGAGAACGTGGAAGGAGAGCTGGGAGGCGAAAGGGAAAGGAGAAGAGGAAAGAGGGAGGGCGGGAGGATGGGAGTGGAAAGCGGCAGAAAGAGGTTGCCGAGCGCCCTCGGGGAGGGAAGGGAGCGAAACAGATGAGACTTGCGGGCTTGCTGAAAAACGCCCTCCTCAGGCCACGACAAGGCTGACAACCGGAGCACCTCTTCGCCCCCTCCTGGGAGGCGCGAGGACAGATTGGGAAACTGATCCTTCCCTTCCTCCTCCTCCTCCTCCTCCTCCTCCTCCTCCTCCTCCTCCTCCTTTCTGTTCGCTCCTCGACGAATTCCTGCTGCTCGTCCTCCTGAGCCGAATCCTGAGCCGACCCCTGTGGTCCAAGCCGCTGGCACGCAGTCTCAGACCACGCAAGGATCGCACCTGGAAGGAGGGGAAGAAGAATGAGGAGGACGAGGAGGAGAGGACGATCAGGGATGAGACAGGGAAGGAAAAGGAGAGGAGGGGGACACAGGATGATAAAGAAGATGACAACACATAACGATAAAAAGGGGGAGGGGTCGGAAAAGGAGGACGTTGGCTGAGGAGGAAGATAAGCAGGGTAAAAGGAAGAGATGGACGAGAAAGGCTTGGGGGCGTGGCAGAAGGAGAGGAAGAGGGAGCACGTTGACCTCGACGTGGGCGACGACGACGACACCGTCCAGCTGCTCGGAGGCGGCCGCCCCCGTGGTATCCTCAGGGGGGCCCCGGCGGGCAAGGCGCGAAGCCCGCTCGGCTCACAGCTCCGGCCGCCAGGGGGGCGTGGCGGAGGCACCTTTGAGCCCGCGCGGCCGCGGTGCTGAGCTCGCGGCTGCGGGGGCGTCGCGGCGCCCCCAGAGGCGCTGAGGACGACGGCTACAACGAAGACGACGACCAGGACAATGACGACGACGACGACGACCATGAAAACGACTACGGGGAGGTCGCTGGATTGGGATCCATTGGATAAGAGATCCAGGGCCCAGGCCTGACCACCAGAGGAACTCCACCCTTGGATTGGCAATGGATGTCGCCGCCGCCCTCATCAGTTGGTAGAATGCATCCCCCAGGAGGCTGAAGCCTCCCTGGCACATTCCTTTACCAACGCCCCCAAAGTACCACGAAGACTGCGACGACCGTGAGGGCGACGCTAACGAGCACGACGGCGGGGAGGCGCGGAGCGCAGGTGGCGGGCGCTTCTGGGCGGGGCAGATGCGGGGGCAAGGGAGCTCGACGCCGAGCGGCGCCCGCTCGGCGAGTGGACCCGGAGGAGGAGGAGAAGGGGGAGGAGGAGGAGGAGGAGGAGGAGGAGGAGGAGGAGGAGGAGGAGGAGGAGGAGGAGGAGGAGGAGGAGGAGGAGGAGGAGGAGGAGGAGGAGGAGGAGGAGGAGGAGGAGGAGGGAGGAGGAGGAGGAGGAGGAGGAGGAGGAGGAGGAGGAGGGCGCGCCCAGAGGGGCCTCCACACGGGCTCGCGGCGCGAGGGGCGGGGCCCCAGAGCGCCGCGAGCCGTGGAGGGAGGGCGCCACTGGGCCGACGAGGGCGCCAGAGGCGCAGGAGAAGGGAGGGCGGGGGAGGGCACCCGCGCACCGCCGGGGCGACCTTGCTGGCCGAGCCAGGCCGTCCCCCAATAATTGAAGGGGCCCTTGGACACACAAATAAATACACACGAATAAAAAGATTCGCCATATTTTCCCATATTTTCTGGGTTTTTGTCTTCCCCCCCACTTCCCATATTTTCCAATATTTTCTGGAGAATCGACGATTAATTGTGTCTGTGTGTTTTTTTCCCTCCTGAATAATGTGCGGGAGGGGGGGCCGGGGCAGCGGCACGCGGGGCCCCCCCGTTGTCTCGCCTCACCGTTGTCCCCCCCTCCTGCTCCGGTTCCTCGCCCTCTCTGCACTGCGACGTGGCCTGGCACAGCGAAGATGGCCAGGAACGGCCGGCAAAGGTTCGTGCTCCCCCCGGTCTGGGTCAGGGGCTGCGGCTCGCAGGCCAGGGGGGATGTTTCACGATTGTCACCTTCAGCGGCAGCCACTGAGCCCCAGAGCCGAATGCCCAACAACACAAGACTGTCGTTCCAGCCCGCGACACGGCTAGCCGTCTCCTGACCCAGGGTCATTGCCGCGGAAAGCAAACAAGGCGCTCGTGACAGAAATGAATGACACAGCATGCAAACATGGCAACTATTCGATGCTACCGTCCTTAGC